AGATTATAGTGGAAACCCACATGTTCCTAAGTTAGGAAAACTGAGGGGAAAACTTGGCTCTACAATTTATTAAATATGAGACAATGAGTAAATCATTGTGCTCAAGTAAACTTCAGTATTCTCAGTTTTTAATGAGATTGTGTCTACCATATTCGATTGTTGTATGAAGTCAAATATTAGATGTGAAAGAGTACAGCTGGTCTTTGTGGCTCAACCTGTAATCCCAGCACTTTGGGAGGCCAAAGCGAGTGGATTGCCTAAGCCCATGGGTTTGAGACCAGCCCAAGCAACTTGGCGAGACTTTGTCTCTACAATAAATAAAAAATCAGCCTGGCATGGTAGCACATGTCTGTAGTTCCAGCTGCTTAGAAGGCTGAGGTGGAAGGATCGCCGGAGCCCAGCAAGTCGACGCTGGGGGGGCCATGACTGTGCCAGTGTACTCCAGCCTGGGTGATGGAGTGAGACTCTGACGCTTAAAAAAAAAAAAGAGTAAGTATAGTAAGAGTAAGTTCACAGTAAATAAATACTCATATAATATCAAGTTATTTAAAGAGGGGATGTACAAACATAGGAATGACATGAAAGTAAAGGTAGTTTAATGCTATGTTATAGGAACTTAGGATGACACATCTTAAATTCCTTCAGCCTGTGATCAGACAGATATTGGGTGGTACTGAAGACAGAGAAAGAAGCCATGCAGATAAGAAACGTATAAGGGTCTGTCACTTATCCAGTCAAAAGTGATAAGGAAGACTAGTTGACTAGTTGATAGCTACTGTTTAAAACTAGCCAAGAATGATTCTAAGAATTTCATACATACATTTTATAATCATCAAGTTCTTACAATTTTTTTTTTTTTTTTGAGTTGGAGTCTCACTCTGTCGCCCAGACTGGAGTGCAATGGCCGCTCCCGGCCACCGCAGCCTCGACCTGCTGGGCTCTGGCGATCCTTCCTCCTCAGCCTTCCAAGTAGCCGGAACTACAGGCGCACACTACCACGCCTGGCTGATTTTTTTTTTAATTTATTGTAGAGATGAGGTCTCGCCTGCCCAGGCGGGTCTCGAACCCGCGGGCTCAGGCAATCCACTCACCTCATCCTCCCAAAGGCGCGGGATTACAGGCTGAGCCACCAAGCCCGGCTAGGTTCTTACAATTTTATTATCCCGTTCTACAAATGAAGAAATAGGGGCAAAGGAAGATTAATTATCCTGCGCAAGGTCACATAACCAGAAGTTACTACCTTTGGATTCTAACCCACATGGGTTAATTCAAGACCTTTCTAGAAGTAGAAGAAAAGGATGGTGACAGCCTTCTTTGTTAAAATCACACATTGTGCTCTTAGTTTATTTATTGAATAAATATATCCAAGTATTTACCATTGGTCAGGAAAACGTTCTTAAAAAAAGACTGGAACTTTTTATTAATGACAAGTATTACCAGTCTCTGTAATTCCTTACAGTGAGTCTGTATATATCTTTTTATTTAAGATTCTCAGAGGCAGAGTTGGTTAGGCTTACGAAAGATCCCAGATTGTTGACTGCCAGAGAACACTGGCCAACATTTCTTACCATGTAGCATGAGGTTCTGGTCCCCACTATAGCATTCATTCATCTGAAATATTCACGGGAGGAGCTCTCGAGACTGCCTTAAATCCATCTGGACATTTACAGTTCTTAAAGGTTAAACAGGAATGCATTCTAAAACATCTGGCTCTAAATACAAGTGTATTCTGCAAGATCGTTCTGACCTATGAAAGCTTTCACTTGAAACCAGCACCCTAACGTGGAATCAGAATCCTTCAAGCTAACTTGTGCTAGCGTACCTGCTTATGCCCACGCTACTCTCGTGGGGTGTACTCCTTCGGCCTGCTCATTTCTACGAGTAAAACTTGGCAAGTAACATTTGGCAATCCAGAAAAAGTCGAATTATGGTTGGAAGTTTCTTCTAAGCAAATGTAATATTCTACTGGATTACTATATAAATTCAAGGCAAGGTCACAAGTATTCCAATTATATTTATAAAATAAATTCCTACCTTATCGTGTGGAATGAAAAACAAGGTTGATTTAGTTCAAAGGTAAACCCTAACTAACGTGTCAGAGTTTATGCCTTAAAATCATAATGAGTACTCATTGCCAAGTTTTAAATTAAAATGCTTAGTCTTCAGCTCCATGAAACTGCTGCTTTTCTAATGAGCAACATCAAAAAATAAACAGAGCCGGGCTCGGTGGCTCAACCTGGAATCCTGCACCTTTGGGAGGCTGAGGTGAGTGGATTGCCTGAGCCCGCGGGTTCGAGACCCGCCTGGGCAGCGAGACCTCATCTCTACAATAAATCAAAAAATCAGCCGGGCGTGGTAGCGTGTGCCTGTAATGCAAGTGCCTGTAATTCCGGCTACTCGGAAGGCTGAGGCGGAAGGATCGACGGAGCCCAGCAGGCGAGGCTGCGGTGACCGGCAGCGGCCACTGCACTCCAGTCTGGGCGACAGAGTGAGACTCCAACTCAAAAAAAAAAATAAAATAAAATAAACAGAGGGATGAAGCAGAAATCTATGTTAGCTAGATATGATAGATATAAATCAGTTAATGTTACTATAAAAAGTATCGAATTTTCTGTGAAAAAGAGTTAGAATTGAAGCCGAATAATCCTTTGACTCCATAAAAATGAATGAGTTTGCATATTTATATAGAATTGTTTTGGAAATATATGTTCTCTGGGACTACATATTCTTTGGTTTCTGTATCCCAATTGATGAGTAACTCAGTCAATTTCCGAGGCTTTCCCAATAATTCCCATACTCCTAAAATCTTATAAAATGTCATATAGTCCCTAGAAAGAGAAAAAAAAAAATAGAGAAATGGAATGTGATCTAGCTTCCACCACCACCAAAATTTTTCTCTTTCCTTAAAAACACACCAGCTTCAGCATAATGAATCTTTTTAGATTCGGTTGTCTTCTAACTTGTTTATAATCATCACAGATTACTAGTACCTTGTAGATAATAGTATCTTTTCTTATAAGAGTTCAACATTTTTGATAACAACTTGAATTCCCCACCACTTATCATATAGAACCATAACTGACATGGAACATGGCAAACAGAAAAAGGTATTAAACTATATATAAGAACAGTTATAAAACTATTATCTACATACACAAACAGTTATAAATAAAACATATGTTTTCACTGATTTATTTGGAAATAATGAGCAGGTATTATTCTACCTCAATTACTAAGGAAAATAAGCAACAAAATGCAAGCTTTTGTTCACATTAACCCGGAAAAGTTGCAGAACAAAAATAAACGATTTCTGATGCCCTGTTCAGTGTTAAACAGCAAAGACTCCCTTCTCTCTTTCTTGAGAAATAATCACTTGCCCAAATATATTGAAATATATTGGGTCTACTCAAGAAATATATTCAGGTTACTAATCTCCAGCCCAACCTTTGAGAAATTTTTTGTAAACTTCAGCCAAATTCACTGTTTTAATTAAGGAAGTCTTGCTAGTTTAATAAACCCACTCTACAGCCCACTGCTCAAAGTCTTTGACATCAGGACTCTAATAGGGCCAGATCCAAAATGCAAATGGTGCCATCAGCATTACTATATCCACTCCAGCAGCACTGTTATTAAATTAATAATTCAATCTGCAAGATAAAACAGAAGAGACCCCAATCATGTGGAACCAGTTGAGTTTCTGTTTAACTTCCAGCAGAAACACATAGCCAGTTCAGTCATGGTTCGCTTAGCTAATTTGTACTCAAACGCTGAGTCCAATTTCCCTGACCAAAGGAATTAAGAACCAAGAAAAGAAAAAAAAAAAACAAGAGAACAGTAAGAAGATGTTAGTTCCCTAAATACAAATATAAATAGGTTTCAATTGAGTGAGCTTCAAGGTTCTGATTGTAGACGAATTGGCTGACCAATCTAGAATGAACACCAACATTAGAATTAAAGACATAATATCTGCAGAACGATTAGAGCTCTTTTCACAAAAAGTAAGTACAGGAAGTATATTTTAAGAACAATAATAATGTGGCACTGTAACATAGATTTACACACTAGTGCAATTTAAGTTTAGTTAGAACTTCTGTGAGTTGCACTTCTACGATTTGGAGCTTTATTCTCTGCAACTGTAGAATATACTACAGTTAAATTTGTTCTATTCAGTTTTTGACATCGTAAATATTAAACAACATTCGACATTAATCCCAGAAAAAATTATTTCATTTTCGGTCTGTATCATAAAAATGTGGTAATTAAGCGATTTCCATTTTTGCCCTGCCTTATCTAAAAATCATGTGTAATTGACCATTGGGAAAACCTGGGTATGCTCGGAAATATGTTCTTTTGAATGTCTTTGCTTCCTGTAAGTTTCTTTTAAGTTTTATCACTATGTGTGTCACCCTCAGAAAAGTGACACTTATGAACTGGGCAAGACAATGCTGGCCTTTATTAATATGCTACTGCTGCAAGATTGCAGTTCCTGGATTCAGTGCAGTTGAAGGGACATTAATCATTATGTTGTCACTGTCCCTCTAACCCCTACGGCTGTGCAAGAAAGCTGTGGGCCATGGAATTTTGCAGGGGGTCATATAATGACTGCATTTCTACACCAAAGTTTGTAAAGGTCTTACAAGACATGAGAAGTTCAGGCTAAAATAAATTGAACTCTGACTTACTATAGTAACTTCTTAAAATAAGACAACGTTTTGCTCAGAAAGTCAAAATATATATTTGTGGTGCTGCTTCCTTAGTAACTAACAGCTGGTTGCAATTTATTTGAAGATTTGTCACACATTTTGATGCTACCTTGATTCCAATCATTAAATATTATTTATACATCACCTAAAATTAACTTGAGAGTAACCTGCTTATTTAAACAAAACCAAAGATATGAAAGCAAATAAATAGAAACATAAAAATCTTCTTTCTCCCACACAAGTATACAAACATACATATGCTAAAAAATATATATATATTTAAAATTAAACATTTACCTCTAGTTTGTAGTTTCCTTTCAGGTTTCTCCTGCTTTTCTGTCTTTTCTTTGTGTATTTCTAAGGAAAAAAGTAGATTTTTTAATCCAAAACTCTGCAAAAGTATGAAATGCAAACTCTAGCTAAGACCTAAAAGCTTAAATTATTGTATAATCTTTAACATGCTTATCAGTTTCCAAAAGGAAAGAGCCTTTGTAGCATATCGCTACTAACTTATTTGTTGAAATAAGGGAAAAACTTGCATTATCTCAAAATTAGTTATTTGAAAAAGCTTAAACATTTAATCGACAGAAATATGTTGTCACCATTTTCAGTTCTAAAGTTGATCACAAACTGTAATTATGTTTTATTTCAATTACTCTGAATATGAATTAAGAATCCTTAATAAGAATGTCATTTAGATTTAGAAAGATTTGGTTTTTACATATCAAATTAAGAATTTGTGAAATGAACTGCAACAACTATCTAATAGGAAATGTATCTCAAAAGTATTGACTCTAAGCTATGTTTATAATCAGCATTTGGCATTACATTTAACCAATAATTACCACAAGCAGATATGACACATTTCATGGAATAAGTTAGTTGTACATTTCTCTAAATATCAGGTTTTAACAAACATATTCAATTCCACTAGCTTCAGAATACATGCATTGCCAAGGTTTAGGAAATGAAGTGAAGTCTGAATTTGTAGTTAATTTGGATAGAAGTAAATTTGAGATGAGTTCACAATTATGATTACTACCTCTGAAAAGTGACTTAATCTTAAATATCTGGTTCTTCTTAGAAAAATGCTAACGAGGTTTACTTATTTATTTATCACAACTTTATTCCACAGATGGTCTGAGATGGTACTAATTACCATACGCATTTTAAACTCTCCATTTGTAAATTTGTATTTACATTTTTGCAATTTTTCCAGAAGTCTACTCAATTAAGACCAACCATAGAAACACTAAGTATCTTCAGAAATGACAGCTACCTGCTTTCATTCACCTATTAAGGAGGTATCTACCACAGTGAAGATTTCCTTCCCTTATTTCCCCAATTAAACAGTCATCTTACTATCTACAGGGTCACTCCTCTACCCTAATCCCATCCATGAACTTGAATATGTCCATGGAGGTTCAGAAAAGTAAGGTAATCATTCATATCTCTGAACAAAATTTTCTCCAACACGCACGAGTACATTTCCAAAGGGCGTAGGAAATTTCCATCTTCCTGCCTCTCTCACTGCTTTATGTCTCCTTTATTCTCCAAACTTTATTCTGCAGCAGGGTTTCTCACTTTAACACTACTGACTTTTTGGATTGGGTAAAGCATTACTGGGAGCAGCATGGGGTTATTCTGTGCATTTTAGGACATTTTGGAACATTCTTATCCTCTACCTATCAGATGCCAGTAGCCCCCGTACCCACCTACCAGTCTTGACAACAAAAAATGTCTACAGCCTTTGCCAAATGCCCTCTGTAAGGCAAAATTAACCCCGGTAGAGAACCACTGTTGTAAACTTACATGATAAGCAGCCTAATCACTTTGTCACTGTCTAGGCCTATGCTGTCCAATGTAGTAGCCACTAGACGTGTGTGCATATTAAGCACATGATATATGGTTAGTCCAAATTGAGAAGTATTACGATTATGAAGACTTAGTATCAAAAGATAAAATATCTCATTATAGTCATTTACATTTTGAAATGAAATTATTTTGGGCATATTGAGTGGAATGGTTTTATTGATGAGTCAATTGGGTAGGCTACTACCACAAGTTCATTTAGAATGCTAAATCTGAGAGTTGCTTGAAGAGATTTTGCAGATGTAATTAAAATCTTTAATCAGTTGACTTTAAGTACAAAGATGATTCTGGATAATCTGAGTGGACTTCTCTGATTTCATTGGAAAGTCTTAAAGATAAGTCTGAAATTTCCTAGGGCAAGGACAGAGATTCCACCTATGGACATCTTTGGTCAATAGCTTTTGGGCTCAAGCTTGACTGTAATCTTCTCTTCCCAGCTGCCTGTGTTATGAGTTCAAATATTCTTAGCCAGTCTCCACAATCGTGAAAGCCAATATCTTGCAATAAATTCTGTGGCTTTTTTTTTTTTGTCTTGTTTTTGTTTTATTTTGTTTTAAGTCAGTATCTCTGTTGTCCAGGCTGGAGTGTAGTGGCACTATCATGGTTCACTACAGCTTGATTTTCTGGGCTCAGGTAATCCTTTTGCCTCAGCTGGGTTGCCGAGACTATAGGTGCATGCCACCATGCTCGGCTATTTTTAAAATTTTTTGTAGAGATGAGGTCTTGCTTTGTCACCCAGGTTGGTCTCAAATTCCTGGGCTCAAGCTAACCTCCTGCCTTGGCCTCCCAAAGTCCCGGATTAAGGCATAAGCCACCACACTCTGCCTAAATTTCTTAATGTATAAGTGTATCTGAATAATCTCCTACTGGTTCTGCTTTGCTGTTTGAGCCCTGACTGATGTATTAAGTTAAGTAGGACATGTTAAAATTCATTTATTTTTTAAAAATTTTCAAAATGTAACTACTGGAATTTTTTTTTTTTTAAGAAACAGTCTTGCTATGTTGCCCAGGGTGGTCTTGAACTCCTGGATTCAAGCAATCTCCTTGCCTTGGCCTCCCGTAGTACTGGGATTACAGGCATGAGCCACCACACCCAGCCTAGGTAATTTTAAATTACATATTTGGCTCACATTATGTTCCTACTAGACAATGCTTGCCTAGTCCTGAGGGAAGCAAATAAGCTTTATAAAGTCTTAAGTCATTCACAGGGCTAAATATTTTCCAGCGAACTGAAGAAACGAACTTGGTATTTATTTTCTCCTGCCAATACCATTCTACTTCTTCCTGCCTCTCCAAACCAATAGAAGATATAGAGAAGATTGGTGTTTTGTAAAACTCAAGTCCAAAAAGCAAGTAAAATACCCAAGACTTAGCGTGGTCTTTGGATATGCTAAGGGAGTCACCTTTAAGAGATAATTTTACTCCTAATAGGTATTGATTTGGGTACAAAGATAGAACGTAATGTTCAAAATTTTCAAATTACATGAAATTCTACATTCACTATGACATGGGGAGGCCTTAAAATTGTCATTTAGAATAGTATTTTTCATTTAAAGGTAGGGGTGTGTATGTGTGCTTCTGTGTGTCCTTGCTGGCTACTGAAAAAATAAAGAAGGGATTTTGAAGCTCACACAGGAGGATCAGATGCAAATGAGACTCTTCTGCAGGATTTAGTCTGAAAAATTCTTTCAGGGCCTTCTAGCCTAATTTAGATTTGGGAAGCCACAATGTTTGGGCAGGGTGGTGGTTTGTGGAACTAGACAGATAGTCTATGTTGATCCACCGTAGGGATTCTTGCAAGAGAGGGGGATGCTTGCATATCAGAGAACAGATGTCAGAAGTACTAGCAGGAGCTGCCCTGTTCCTCTTAGACCCTGTGTATGTAACTGCATTCCATCAGAAGGAGTAGGGGTTAGATTGTAAACAGAATTGCAATGAGCAGGAGTCCATCCTGGAGAAAATAAACAAAAAAGACAAATCTCAAAAAGACTAAGATCAAGACAACCACTCAGGAAAAGGAAAAAGCAGGGCCATTTACCAAGTAGGAGAAGCATGTACTACAAGGGACCTGTCCTCCAAAAGATAACTATGGGGTTTTTTGGGGGGGAGTCCTTCCATCGTATGACCTTCTTTAAGTCTATTTCTCCTTTAGCTTTACTTGTTTTTATGTTTGCCAAGGTAAAACTTATGATGACCCCCATGCCCCAACCTCCCTACTCACCCTATCGCATCCTAAATGACTTTTTGTTTGTTTGTTTCCCTAGATGAGAAAAAGTTCTCAAAGGGTAACGCTTTGCTGATGTGGAAGAGGTGAAACAAAAAACGGCAGAAGTACCAAAAGACATCAAAACTGCCAAGTTCAAAACTGTCTTGAGCAGTGGAAAAAGCATCTCAATAGGTATAAGGCATGAAATGGATAGTAATTTAAAGGTGACTGAAGTTTTACATGTAACACCAAATACACAATTTTTAAATACATAAATTTCAGTTTTTAGGGGTCCCACTTGTATATTTCAGAGCATTTATTTTTTATTCTATGATAAGTGGATTAAACATAACCCAGTTCTGCAACTCACACCAGTCTTACAAATAAAGCCCCAATTTTGTATTCTTCTGATTCTGAATTTCAGCCTTATAACAAACTAAGACAATCCCACTGCTTTGAGCAATGATGGATCCAGTCAGTTTTCTTGTCAGTGGAGGTCACAGATTTTAAAAAGATATACACAATAAAACATCCACAGCTCATAACAAAATATGATGACTTACATGGGCAGTATTTTTGGCAGGGCCACAATCAACTAACTTTTTTTAACTGAACTATCAAGGAAATGTGGACAAACACAGCTAAACTAGTGAAGACATACACACTCCTACATTTCTTTGCTCACAGAAGACAAAAAAAAAAATAGTTTGATGATTCAAACTTAAGGAAAAATTAAATGTCTCCCTGTGTGTTTTATTGCAACATTGGATTCTCTTTGGAGACTGGATTCCATCACTGGTGCTAGTGACTGTGGCTATCAGATGTCAGAAGAATCCAATAAAACCTCTGTCCGGTGTGCCAGTTCTGTCTTCTTACACTTTAGCCAGGAAATGATGACCATTCAGGCTCTCGTCCAACTGAGTAACATGTTACCCATTTAGACTTCAGAAAGATATTATTCTCATACCCAGAGGATGCCTGATTTTTTAACTTCAGTTGCTCTTTCCAGATAAGAACCATTTGTATAAAATTGGAAAATCAAATTTAAAAGATTCAAGCAATTAAAGGTGGAAATTTATTGCCTCATGGCTTTCAACAAACTAAAAAATAAAATAAAATTTGTTATATTATAGTAATACTTGCTTCTAGTTATTTAATAATTTCAGAGACAGGTGAATGCCTTCACTTTGTAGAACAGGAAGAAAATGTTATTTTGCATAAGATTGTATTTAACATCACGATACTCTTAAAGGAGCAGTTCACTTGAACCTGAACCAAA